GAAGAAGAAGAAGAAGAAGAAGAAGAAGAAGAAGAAGAAGAAGAAGAGGAGAAGCAGCAATACAAGCCAATCCAGATGTGTCATCCCCAGCCTCTGCATCTTTGGACAGTGCCACTTCTCTGTTCTACTCATCCAAACCATGAATCAGTTAGTGTTTGGATAACGCTTTTGCTTTAAACTCTTGTTCACTTGGAATGTCCAGTGATTTCTGTAGCCATATTGAACGACTGATGTAACACATATTCCTAGTTTGCAAATGTATGTAGGACACACACACAGAGACACACACATGCACACAGCTCAGAGAGTGTCAGTGTGGTGGCATATGCCTGTAATCCCAGCACTTGGGAGGAAGAGACAGGAGAAGAGAGAGTTCAAGGTTACCATTAGCTGCAAAGAGACTTTAAGGCCAGCCTGGGCTATATAAGACCCTATCTCCAAAACCCAAACAACTCAGAGAGTTTCTCAACAGTGAGTTAAGAGGGTTAGCAGGTGTTTGAAGTCAGGCATGTCAAATTCTGAAATTCTCTTTCTCTGACCTCTAGCTGGGTCAGTAAGGCAGAGAAATGAAAGTGTCGTTATGAAAGTACTTCAAATGTTCAATACTTGTGTTCAATCTAGGGAGGAAAAATGGCTTTCAGGGAATAGAAGATAGTAAGAAAGTAAAAGAGCAGAAGCATGGGTGGGAATGGGGTGTGCATGGAAGCAGAATAAAACTAGATTGGGCTCATACATGGGATGCTGTGATTGAAGGGATTTCTTCACAGGTGAAACAGTTGTGAGTGATGAAGAGCAACAGTTTGGCCATAGGGGAGCTGAAGTAGGAGAAACATCTGTACAGAGAATTTTTTATAACTGACAGGACACAGTCAGGAGGGTGACAGATGCCAGCCATAAGAATAGTAGAGAGAGGGGCTGTAGAGATGGCTCAGGAGTTAAAGCACTTGCTCCACGGTGTGAGAACCTGATTTGGCATCACCAGGAACCCACGTAAATGCTGGATGGGTAGATGCCAGGTGAGCTGAGCAGCCTCCTGTAGTTCTAGCCCGGAGAGAGCAAGGAAGAACAGCAAGACGAGCTGCAGCACTGACTGCTGGGGTTGGCAGAGAGAGCCTGCCTCACTTGCACGAAGGAAGAGTGGCCGGCATGGATCTGAACATTGACCCTGAGTCCACGTACACACCTGCACAACATGCACATGCACACACACACACTCAAAAATGTGCACGCACACATTCTTCTCGAGCGTTCTATCACTGAGTTGTTTCCCTCTTTTTATATTTTACTTTGTAAAAAGCTCTTGCTATGTCGCTCGGGCTGCCCTTAAACTCATTTTGTGGCCTAGGCAACAACTGTTGGCTTTGTAACCCTCCTGCTATCAGTCTCTCCGGTAACTGAGCTCCCAGGCCCGAGCCACCAAGCACAGCACTACACCCATCGAAGAAGTCACAGAGAGTAGGATACTCAGAATAAAACCTCCAGTTTGGTGATAGAGAGATGGCTCTGCACTAGAAGTACTAGCTTTTCTCTCCCAGAGGACCCAAGATCAATTCTCAGCACCCACATGGCAGCTTACAGCTGTCTAGTAAGTCCAGTCCCAGGGGATCAGATGCCCTCTTCTGCCTCCACCAGCAGCACACAGGCAAAACACCCAAACTCATAAAATAAAATTAAACAAACAAACATGACCCGTACCCCAGCTAGAGTTTCAGTCTATTTTTTTTTTAAGCCTAAATTTTAGGTCCTAGAACAAAGCAACCCCAATCTCAGCTGTATTTGGAAAGGAAAGAGAATCTCAGCTGAGATCTACTTGTTAGAACCTCCTAACTCGGTGGTTTTAAGTTTGGCGCCTAAAGCTTTGGGTGGTTTCTGAGCAGAAAAGAACCATGCATTGAAACTTCTATGCAGGAGGCACCTATTGGCCTCTAGAGTGCAAACACCATGGAGGGTAAAAGAGGATCCAACCACCCGTACCAGCAGCCTGTCTGCAGCTCCAGGCTCCAGCAGAGTCCCCAGAGGCCGAGCCTGCATGTTCATCTCACTGTTCCAGCACTCACAGCCAGTCCTGTCTCCAACCTGCCACTGGTGCACACCTGTTGTTCTTGTTTTCAGAAACTCTTTGTCTTCATCCTGTTTGGCCTTAATTCAAGGCAATAGAATCTTGACTGCTGACTTCTGCTGGAACCACTCAGAATTACAAATTACAATGTCTCCCGTAGGAGACATTCCACAGCAACTCCACACCAACCCACTTCGAACAGTGTAGTTTCCACAGGCCCTGTGGCTCCTGATGCCCAAGGGCCATTTGTGGTCAGCTTGCAGGTTAGGTCAGAGTCTTAACTCTCTTACATGCTGTGCACACTCATAAGTTTCTCTTCCCATTCTGGTCCTTCTTCTCACTATGTGTAGAGAGATTGGAATACATCGTGTTCTGGGCTAGGAATAAGGCTTAGCTGGTTGAGTGTTGTCTAGCACTCACAAAGTACTGGGTTTGATCTCCAGCATGGCATGAGCTAGGCATGGTGGTGCATGCCTGTAACCCTGACACTAGACAGGTCAAGACAGTGGTATTAGAGAAGTTCAAGGACATCCTTGGCTACATGGTGAGTTTGAGTTTGTAGCCTAGGCTACAAGAGACCCTTCCAGGAAAAGAAGGCAAGAGGAGGAGGGAAGGGAGGAAGAGGGGATCAGAAGGATCAGAACAAATGAAAGGAAAAGCAAGCAATAAAAGGCCTATGGTAGCTGATGGGCAGCTTCGTCCTCATAGGGGTTCCCTAGTAAGGGGAGCAGGGGCTAACTCTGACATGGATTCTGTTGCCTGCTTTTCAATCACTTTCCCCTGCTGGGACTGCCTCAAGAGGCCACAGAGGAAGAGGATGCACTCAGTCCTGATTCGACTGGATATGCTGGCCGGGGGTGGAGGGGTGGGGAGTGGGGGGTGGGGTAAGAGGTTGGGAGGGGAAAATAGGAAAAAAGAGTGGGATTGGGAGGAGAGGGGGAGGGGCTACAATCAGGACGTAAAGTGAATAAATAAATGAATAATTTTAAAAGGCCTATGATCTGGATTTGACAGGCTTCTCTGCCTCCCACAGCCTGGCTTGAGCTTGGGGAGTCTCAGAAGAGTAGTTGCTTGAATGGGTGAGATGGCTCAGCTTTTAAGAGCTCACCCTGCTCTTGACTAAGATCCACATTTGATCCCTAGCACCCAAGCTGGACAGTTCATAACTGCCTGTAACTCTAGCGCCAGAGGATCGGAATCCTCCCACCTCTGTGGGCACCTGCACCCACATGCATATACCCACACACATTCATATGCTTTTTTTAAATGATAAAATAATAAATATTTTTAAAAGATTTAACTTTTCAGTACAATCAGTATCCTATGACTCATGTGAAGAAGCCATTTGGTTTTTATTCGGCTGAAAACACAGAGGTGGGCTGGGCAGGGCTAATTCCCATCAGGGCTTCTACTGACTGCAGCCGAGGAGGCTGTTTACTCTCTGGGGCTGAGGAAGAGTCTTGGCTGCCGTCAGTTTGTCTATACTGCTGTAGCAGTACAAATTAGGCCCGTGGATAAGGTACAAGCTGGGACCACTGGAAGAACATGAGTTGGGGCCAAGGGACTTTTCCAAACACAGGGCCCCATCGACTTTCTCATGGGGCCATGAAAGTTCTGTCCATGTCGCCTGAGCTCCTGACTTCAGGTCCAGCCACCATAGCCGCCGTCCTGGGAAGAAGACAACAAACTTAACATAGCTTCTATATTATGAGTGAATTAGCTCTCTTCATGTCCTCCTGGTCATCTATGCCATGAAGAGCTAGCAGAAGAAGACACGCCTTAACACTCAAAAGCTCCTCACCTGCGGTGACATAGAGCCTGGAAGAACCAGGGCAGGTAAAGGCTGCATCTATAGTCTCAAGGTTGATACCGGGAGGGCTCCCAATTTCCTTCTCCAGCCGCTTTGGATAACCACTTACTAGGGTATTGCCTCCCTTTGACAGGAAGACGTACACTTGAGTACCCTAGGAGACAAAGGAAAGTAATCAACATAGACCCGTAGAGCCTTGTCCCAGTTTCCACCTTAAGCCTTTCTCCCAATACACACCTGGACCAGATAGACTTTATCATCCCAGGAAAAGGCAGCATCTACTGTCGAAGGACCCTGAGGCCAGTGGTGAGCAATGGGCCAGCTATGCCACCCATCACGGCTGGAGTCCAGACGCCAGTAGTGGTTGCCTGTGGGGTGTCAGAGGTAGTGCTAGTGCTGATGGTGAAGCCTCACACAGTGGAGGGACAAGCGATGGATACAGGTTTGCATCACGAAAGGGACAGAATGCATCCAGAGGCCAAGAGGGACAAGGGAGAGGAGAGGAGAGCTATGTTGGGGACAGTAGCCCCACTGGAGTCAGCAAGAGCATGATAGACAATCTGCAGAAGAGCAGACAAGGCTTCCGCAAGTGTGTGTGTGTGTGTGTGTGTGTGTGTGTGTGTGTGTGTGTGTGTG